TGTATGTATGTATATATGTGTATATGTGTATGTATATATGTGTATGTGTGTATGTATATATGTGTATGTGTATGTATATATGTATGTATGTATGTATATATGTATGTATGTATATATGTATGTATGTATATATGTATGTATGTATGTATGTATACTTGTGTGTATATATGTATGTGTGTATATATATATATGTATATGTGTATATATGTATATATATATGAATACCCCGGTTATTGACTTAATCTGATTACTCTGTGCATGCATGTTAAGTCAGTGTTTTGCATGCAAGTTGTTAATTAAATAAGAAAATGCTAATTTGTCAAGTATTTAATTCACACAGAAATTAGGCTTTACCATGTGGTTATGTGTTATGGACTATTCATTTTATAATATATGTCATCAAAAAATACAAGAATCACTATCGAAGCTGTGAATAAGATATTGTTGCCAGTGCTCTCTGGTACACAGAAAGGTTTTTCTAAATGACTTTAATGCAACGTCTTTGTTACTTATCAGCCAACACATTTACAGATACCATATATCCGTGATAACATCACTTATCAGTTATCAGAAAGGTGCAACTGAGAATGAACCGACTGTTACAGCATTCATTTCTGTAATTGAATTTACTTGAAGTCAACGTTTTTACAACCAAGGACTTCTGAACAATCGATCTGTTAAATTGAATGCAGTCATTAATCACTCCAGTAGCAAAGGCTTTCCTTTTTTCAAATGATCACACCACGCTTCCCCCTTAACAAAAGGTAATATGTGTGTGTGTGTGTGTGTGTGTGTGTGTGTGTGTGTGTGTGTGTGTCAGCTGGCTACATTGTAAAACAGATGGGATTGCCTCTGAAGCTGGTTGCCATGGTGAATTCTAATGACATAGTGCACAGGATGGTAACCACTGGTGACTTTTCCATGGCAGCTAATGTCACACAAACTTTGGCCCCTGCCATTGACATCCAGGTAACACAATCCCACAGCCTGTAGTTAGCACTGCTCACTTCAATGACAGTCAGCCACACATGGTTTTTGCTTTTCTTCAATCAATTTTAATTCTATTTTTAGGAACAGTTATCTGCTTTCTGTACAGCCCCAAAGGCGAACATATTCAGGCATTCTCATGGAGTGTGTGAAAAGGAAAGGGAACAACCTCTGAGGAGCACAAATCTGATCATTGACGTGCAGCAGTCTGCACATTAGATTTTGATATTTCTTGAATTCGACATATTTGTCCAGTGGTGGTGCTGGAGGAAAGACCAGGGTTCACCTAAAAACATTAGGATTCGTCCTCTGGGGACAATGAATTTCGTACTCTGCTAAAACACATTGCCATCAATATAAAGTTTGGTATTGAGGTATTCATTTGAATTTCCACCATGTGTGTAAAGCCATCACTTGTATTGAGATGCTTGGTCATTCATTGATGCTGTGTCACACTGCTTGATTTTTGGTCTGTAGGACCCGTACAACATGGAGCGAATGTTCTGGCTGCTGCTGGGCAGAGATGGAGCTTCAGTGAAAAACATGATGGAGGAGTTTCAACAATCCCACAGACACTCTCTGCCGGAAAACCACCGCAAACTAGTACCAATCATTCACTGCACCCACTGTCTACATTCAGGCATGCTTGTCTTCTGTGTGTCTAGTGAGACCAAACCCCCATCTAACACCCTAATACAATTATGTTTTACTTGTAGTTGTCACAAGTTTTATCAACTGGAACAGTGACTGATGAGGGGATCCTGGAGACCATGAGGAGATGCTGGGAGGAAAACCAGTATGTCCTGTGTCCACACACAGCTGTAGCTGTATGGCATCACTACCACTGTCCTCACAGCCCCAGTCTCAACAGGTCAAGCAAACTGTATTCATCTTTTTAGCCACACACACAAGACATTTCTGACTTCACTGTAAGACATGAAGTAGCAGGGTGTTCAGGAGCCTCGAAGGGGACATACACTGAAAGAAAGATCTAAACAAGAACTAAGGACCACAAGAAGAAAAGAGCTGTTTTGAACACAACTAATCATTATATTTTAGAACAGTCACACAACAGTCACACAACACAACGGGCAAACTACAACCAAGCTAGCAGCCCTTTGAGGCTGTACTTACTGTAGGCACAGCAGTGCTTTGAGCTAAATGCTAACACCAGTAATATGCAAGGTTAACCATGGTGACTGTTTTGATGTGTGTTAGCCAGTAACAAATTTCGACAAAACAACTACACTACTCACTAAAACTCTTTTTGCAGGTGCTACATTGCGACAGCATCTCCAGCCAAGTTTCAGGCAGCAGTGCAGAGGGCTGGTCTGACCTTTGACCTGCCTGAGGCAGTGCTGGCGTTGGACAAGTTGGCCACCCGTTACCAGAACCTGGAGCGGAGCCTGAACTGGTGCAAAGACTGGGAGGACACATTAAGAGAGAAAATCCAGTCTGTGAGTTCAGCCAGGAAAACCAGAGGGAATTACTACCGCTGATCAGGAAAGATGTCATTACATTGTAAAATGGGGTTGTAGTTCAGAAAAGCTGATTGGACATTAAACTGTGTATGGGCAAGGTCAGGTGACTGTGGCTGCTTGTCCATGATCATTGTGCTTCTTTATCTGGATCTAGTAAATGATGTTGATGGGAAAGGCCTGTTGTTGCCTCTTTGATGGACTTTGGTCTGTAGGGTCATACAAATTGTCTTTGTATTTCTACAGTGATGTCATACACCATGAACCAATCAACTATTCACAATATTCAATCTCCCTCCCACAACTGTCACACAAATGTAAATGAATGCTGAAAAATAAAATCAAACTGAGTTTCATTGTCTCAAAAACAATCTAAACAATTTATTTAATTGCACAAAATTGACACACACACCATTAAAAAAAGTACAATTTCCATAACTGACTGATATTTACCCTTCAGGAATACAACTGATGTCCTTGCCTAGCTGTATTAACGATAAGTGCAACAACGCCATACGTTTATTTACTATATCCATCACCTGCACCCATGACAGCAATGCTAAATGGGATGAGGATGTGTTTAGGCATCTTTATTATTCAGTCTCAAAAGTCAGTCGCGGGACCTATATGCAATGGTCGGCTGTTAGTTCACTTCACTTTCATTTGTCATTCCTGCCATATCCATATCCAAATACATATGCAGCAGAATGAGTTATGGTTCCTCTGAAGATCAGGACTTCAGCAGGATTTAATACAAAGTCTTGTTGTAAAGTAGTATTGAGATTATTAATGCATTTGCAGTTTAAAATGTAGTGGAGCAAAAGTATGAAGTGCCTCTAAAAGTATTGTGTTTACCCTGCTGTGTCAATTATACTGTAAATAATGTGATGATGTTTTAAAAGCAATTCTCTGTAAATTTGCACAAATGTGAGGAAGTGATTTGGAGAAAAGTAGGCCTACTGATTTAAAGGATGATTGCTGAGTATGATGAATGTGTTAATTATTGACAACAAAGATGTGTCTGAGATCAATTAATCAAACTACTGATAACTTAAAACTTGATGGTTTTGGTGTCAATCAAATGATCAGAATATAGCCGTTGAATAATACATTTTATATTATTTATGACATATTTTATTGGATACATTGTACGACTATGGTCTAGCCTTGTGGTGGCGCCATATCTCACTATGGCTCCTCAGACGTTTTTTTTAGACTGTAGGTTGCTACTGACATGTTCTGTACAACACCATGTCCGAGATGCATTCACAGTTAGCTGAAGATCATAGCAACCCTTTCCTTTAGTTTGTTATTAAAAATAATTCAACTTTAAGTGTTGTAAGGATACTTTAATTTATTTATTTCAAATACAATCAAGTGTCTGAATTGTGGAAATATACATAAATGCACAGATGTGTTAAAAATATTAGATAAAAGGTGGAATACATGTTTGGGGGAAAAGAAAATTTAGAGCATCTGTTCAGGTCGAACCATTGACATAGATCCCAAAATTACACCGTGTTTTCCAAGGATCCCTGAATGTAGCACGAGGTTTGACATCTACACAGCCAAACATGGCGACTGCTGGCTAGCGCAGCCAGGTACGCCTTCGTCTTTTATTATTGTGCAGCTGTCAGGAAACAGCCAGGGCCGGTAAACATTCTCAGAGAGAGATTGTTCACCTTTCCAGGTTATTGTCCATCCGTTCGGCTCTCTGGTAACGTTATGTGAAGGCGGTTTGTGAGCCACATTAAACGCAGGACAGGAGTGAAGTGACACAACATCAGTGGGCTGAGGGCGGACTGTTCCTGCTGGTTTCTTCACCACTTTGCCGGAATGTTTCTCAGGTAAGACACGGGTCCACTCAACGACACAGTATGTCTGTACTCTGTCGTGTCTGTGTGTTTCCGCGTTGTTTTTCACGGCTGTGTGACTGTCAGCTGACTCATCGCTCTTAGCACTGAGAGATAATAGAGGAGTAACGTTACCTTGTTGCTGTAATACAAGCTAAAAACAGTATTGAGCTTTTATGTACACCTCTATAGAACGACCAGTTATTAAATCATGTTATTAGTATTGTAAAATAAACAGCCAGCTGTTGGCTTTCACGCCATCCTTGTGTTTGTCTATAGCGACCTGTACTAAACAAATGATGGCTCCACCCATGGCTGAATCAAATTAGAGAAATTAATCCCCATCTCTTCATATTCCTTCTCCCAGACAAAGCAAGGGCACAAAATACTCCCTGTCTCAACAACTGGACATTGTAAGCTTGACAAAGGCAGGCCGACTGTAACAGCCTACTATCCGAGGAGTGGTATAAAACGTCACTGATGCTTTGAGGCTCACAAATCCTCCTCAGAGGGCTTTACAATCTGTACACATGTGACATCCTCTGTCCCAGGACCCTCACATCGGGACAGGAAGAACTCCCCCCCAAAAAACCCTTTAACAGGGAGAAAAGAGGGAGAGACCTTAGAGCAGGGGTCTCAAACTCATTTTCACTCTGGGCCACATCAGCATCACAGTCGCCCTCAAAGGGCCGGTTGTAAATGTAAGACGGTGTAAATGTAACTTCTCCTAACATATTGTTAAATAACTCTCTCTGCATTTGATTATTGTTTATTCAAGTGTTAAAATATTGTACATGTAGTTATATAAATGTAAAAATATATTTAAACACATTTCTGTTATTATAACTTAAATCCTTTTAATGTAGGGTTAAGAAACCCACATTACTCTATCAAAGATCAAACTATTAAAGAAAATAGCAAAGACAAATATCAAACACAAGTTATTACAATAACTTTGTTCAATGCTTAAAATCCTTTCAAGGGTGCGTTTGCACAATCCCACGTGAAGTATTTCATGTGTTTTAAAGCCACGTTTAAAGTAGTCTTCAATGTACTCACAATACATTTCCATTTCAAGTGTACAGTAACCAGCCAAAGAGCTGCTTCTGTGACTGTGTGTTTAAGTATCTCATCATTCTGACTTTCTATCTCATACTTATGACTTTCTATCATAGTTATGACTTTCTATCTCATACTTCGACTTTCTATCTCATTTCGACTACAGGGATATTTTTATTATCAAGTCTAACTTTAATTTCTTTTTTTTTTTTTTAACTTCTTTTTTTTTCAGGATGGAGTGTGATAGATGTCATGTGTACAGAATGAACATAACAGAGTTACAACACAGTCAATGCATATGACATCAATGATTCATGTAATGAGAGTAGTAAGCAGAATAATGATGGAAACATTATGATTTCTAGTAATAACAGCAGAAGTGGATATAGTAGAATAAAAAAAATAACAAAAGCAGTGATGTAATCGGCAATAGCAAGCAAAGCAGATTTATGTCATCTGTTAAGCACAAACTCCGGTTTCAGCCTCTGAAATGTGAATACTTGCTGGTTTTCCTAGTTTCTATGATAATAAACTGAATATCTTTGGGTTTTGGACAGTTAGAGAATTGTACTGGACATGTTTTTATATTTTTTACAAATTTATTGAGAAAATAATCAACATATTTATTGATGATGAAATGAATCATTATTTGACGCCCTCCAATCAGGCCTTTATATAGTGAAGACAAAAGCTGCTTGTGAATGAAAGACATGTGGAAACCAGCTGAAGTTCATCACCAAGCTAATCTGTAGAGGGACTCACGGTGGTCGTAGCATCATGCTAGGGAAGTGCTCTCAGCGGAAGGAGCCTGGAGACTGTCAGGGTTTTAAAAAGGGAAGTAAAGAGAAAGATCCAGAGAGATCCTTGAAGAAACCCTGCTCCATGGAGCACACAACCTTACCTAACACAAAGCCTTCCAGATGTGCTCTACATGTGTGTAGTGTTTGTCTAAGCATGGTTAAACGTCCCCATATAAGCCCACTGTCTTCTGAGTCAAATGATATATTTCTTCTAATGAAGCAGCTTATTACATTAATTACACTTTAAGTCAATCAGATTTGTCAATATAGAGTTATGGCACGTGTGTGACGTGCCTGCTGATCCTAGAAGAAGAGTCTTCTGAGGACCCTCAGATGATAACTCTATTTTTGCACATTTCTACTCCTGGCAAGTACGAAGTGATTAGTGTTTTAAACAAGACAAATGTTAGAACATTACTTATAGAAATAGATTTCTATTATATTACTTGAATTAGAAATATTGTTTCTTATTAAATTAAAATCTGAGTTTTAGCATGTTAGCAAACAGACCACATGCTGTATCAAAACAGTAGCTATCTGTCACAGGACTGTAATAAGGCTGTCCTCTCATCATATTCATAGCCATGTTGTTCCTTTATGTTTACCATCATCATGTGGGGGAGTGTGTTAGGAGAGACAGGCTGGCAGTGTTGACCCTTTTGAGACTTTCTCACTCGATTTAGTGACCTTTGGATCTGGTGCTGCTTGCTACTTTCTTTGGGACAGAGTTGGCAACACTGGGCTGAGTTTTTAGGGTGAACGATTTAAAAAATGTAGTGTACTCAACATAACCAGCCCTAGCTTTAAAGGAGACACTAGCAGAAGCATTGCAGTGTCTGTGGTGGATGTAAATGAGTAGCTAATTACTTCTCTGCATGATCAATTTGACTTTGTTAGTGCACATATATTGATTTATTTCATAAAGCTGCTTTTGTAATGTATGATATTGAATAAAATATTCTGTCTCTTAACCATAAATTCACAGATATTCCCTTTCAGCCCGCTTGACTGGTTTTCAATGGGATTTTCTCCCTTTGACCTTTGAACCATTTCCTCTTATTTTGACCTCACCCGTTGAATCAGATCTGTAATTATATCAGTTATACTGCAAAGGTCAGTACATTCTGGATATGTCTATATTCTCTCCTAACAGTCATATTTTCTTAATCTTTACTTTTCAGATGAGTTTTGTTTGAGATTATATATATATACATATATATATATACACATATACATATACATATATATATATACATACATATATACATATATATATATATACATATATATATATATACATATATATATATATATATA